TATACCAAGCAATCATAGAATGAGCAAACATCTGTCTAACAAGAAAATACAGGTTTGCCAAGATCTGTATATTTTCGGATAGCCAAGCTGCTCTTAATGCGCTAAAGGCGTTCACATGTCGATCGAAGCTAGTGTGGGAATGTATTCTTTCCTTTAAACAATTGGCCGAAATATTATACTGGGTGCCCGCCCATTGCGGCATTGAAGGAAATCAAAATGCTGACAGTCTAGCAAGACGAGCTTCTGCAGCGAACTTCATCGATCTGGAACCATTGTGTGGAGTCCCTGAGTGTACTATAAGGATGGAACTAAAAAGTTGGGAAACGTCCATAGTAGAATCCAACGGGAACGCCACAGATGTATCCAGACAGGCGAAAATATTTATAAGACCAAGTGCAGCAAAGGCCCGGATTTTGCTTAATCTTAGTAAAGAGATCTTCGGGTAATAACTGGTCTGATGACTGGTCACTGCCTTAGCAGATATCACTTATATAAAATAGGAAAAATTCCGTCTAGCGAATGTCGGTTTTGTCAATTTGAAAACGAAACTGCTGTATATACTCTGCAGCTGTGGAGCACTGTTCAATCAAAGAATGTCAATATTTGGAAAAGCGATATTAGAACCCTTTGAAGTTTGGCAAAGCAATCCCAAAATGTTATTAGACTTTATAAGACGAGTTGTGCCTGATTGGGTGTATCACACCTTAATTGTGAGAGGATCTTGTACCCGGCATAAAGTCGGCTAGCCGAAATCGGTCTACTAAGGTGTTCCGTAGATTGGTTTTTAAACAAATGGCTTAAGCGCCACCTCCATAGAGGACCACTTGTCGTTTCGGATGTCCGGCAAACTCCAAACCCCAGGGCGAGTTCAGTCTAACGCAAAGGATTGGAACGTGCTAGTAGACATTAAGTGCTTGGGATTCAAAATAAAACACTAAATCAAACCGAATGAAAACTAATCAGAAACCGTCTTTCTACCGGAGCGAATGCACTGATGTGACCTGTTCTCATCACAGGTCAAGCTCTTCCCCAGACACAAAATCTACACGCTTCAGGACAGAAATGGTGGACTGAGATTCCCAAGTAGACCGACTTGGAGTAAAACCAAACAACGAAACGTGAGAAACTTCTTCAGAACAGTGCACTCATTAAACGGGAAATTCTAACCTTAACATTTATTTAGAAAATGACTAATGGAACGAGAAATTTATTAACCTAAACATTTTTATTCGGGAACCCTCATTCTCTTATCTCTCTATCTCTAATGTCTTACCTAACTGTGCGGATTTTCTAACTGACTATTTATAACTGGCGCTTCATCCAGATTTAATGCGTGCATGTGGACATTGTACGGTTCTACTCATGCTTCTGCTTTACCGACTGCTCCTCACCATCGGCTGTCGTCCCTGCGACGCTCGCTGCATGGAATACAATGGACTCACAAAATTGGGTGCGAGTCTCGATTGGCTAATTCACCAACTGCGTTGCGTGTTGATATCCCGGTGGGTGGGAAAATTGCTCACCTGGAGCGCGATATAGACGGCGCAGCTCCCTTCTAACTCCGACCGATGTTAGGTCCTTTAATGCCGACGCGTTGGGTCAGGATAGTGGCAATAGCGAGGGGCGCGGTGTATCGAGCGGGAGGTGGGACGAAACTATAGACAAAAAGCCGTCACACGGCTGTTCAACTGGATGAGCGTATTGTTGCAAAACTGCATAGCTAATAATTTACCATTTTGTTGAAACTTAAATCGCGCACAGTACCGCACTAGCCTACTAAACTTATTCAATAGTAACTACACCTAATCAAAAGAAATTAACAAACAATTAAATACACTGAACTTAAAGACACTTCTCACATTTTAAATATCTCTACAAACACACGGATCAAATTTCATGCCACCACAAATGAGAAAACTTACGCGCCTAGTGTGCGGATGAATAAATTAATTAGTGAAATTTCATGCAGGGATAATTTACTCTTGATATGAGTTCACCAGTTGCATACAAGTGAATTGGGATAGTGCGTACCGTTTCGAATAGTAACAGTGAACATTTGTAACATTAGAACTTCATGCTACATTAATTTAATATCTAATCAGAATACCACCACAATATGTGACTAGCACCAAAATAAAGTGGGTCTGACAACAATATTCCTATGTAATGGACGGAGTTGTAAAAAGACTCTACAGATAAAAAAAAAATCAAGAAGTTTCTCTAAATCTTGAAGAGCTTCGACGATACATCCTTCAGAACCTTATCCAGGGTGGGCCAACTAGACAGATTCTAGTCCTAATGAGGTTTTTGTGGACGAATCAATGGCAAAGAAGCCTTGAACAGGGTTTTATGAATTTTATTTTAAAATAACTTTGTAGTACTTCATATAGCTTAAAATGTGACTTGGGTATAGACCTGTATAAAAGTAGTATGCACTGAAAAAAATTGCCTCTATATATTGATGGTGTAAGTCATGAGAAATTTACGACAGGAGTAATATTTCACAAATGCACTTATGTCTTTTGATCATTTGTCATTGAAATAATTGGAATGAAGTCTTCAAATTAAAACTTTGTTGAATTCAGCCTTAGTGGAACTAACAGTGCGGTTTCTGATACCCAAGAAGTCGTGACAATTCATCTGCAAACATCTGCTGTACAAGTAAATTCTTTAAAAAAATATTTTATAACTGTTTAACAATGTATGTATAAATGCAGACATGTCTGTATATCTGGCATCCCTGGTTGAGACTTCAACCAGACCGAACCATCAGCCCCAGCCTCAGCCGTCACCGTCTAACTTGGCTCGCTCCGTTCAGGTCTAATTCAGGAGCACCTTATCAAAGCACAAAACACTCGCCGTCTACTGTGGTGTCTGCTGCAGTAGCGCCGCAAAAATCTCTCGCTCACACTCAAACAAACATACCCAACCAAATGCCTACTGCCATCAACTGAACGAACGAACGAGCGTCGCATTAGTATACATCTTCGGTTCCTTCCTCCCACAACCCCTTAGCAAAGGGCAGCAAAAAATACAAAGTCTCGCTTCGGTAACTTTTCCTCTGCATTCAAAAAACCACCCGTCCACGAACTCCCTCCGTCACTCGAGTGGAGGAACTTTTGCTTTCCTTTGTTTTTTTTTTCCCCCTACAGGCTTGAATTATTACGGGTCATTGCGAAAAGGAACCAAACAGCCCCCCGCTCACTTTGCCACACAGTTTGTGTGACCCTTTCCGGAAAGCGGTTGTGTGGGCCCATCCGGATCCGGATCGATTTATTACACCGTACCGGACGAAAACAAAACACAGGAATCCCGCGAATAGCAGTCCACCCGCCGCTTTTTCTTGGCAGTCAGTTCTTAGTGTCAACCTAAAACAACAGAAAATCAGTTCAATTTGGTTTCTTTAAATTTGAAATTTAAACGTCGGTTACTGTGATTTAAAGCAAAACAACACTAAAATAATAAAACTGTTTCAGCGCTCCAAAATTGATGAAATTTTGGATTTCGCTTCCATTTGACATGCAGAGTACGAATATGCCATTACCTCAATACCCCTAAAGAACCCACCGCACTACTCGGGGGATTCCTGTATAGGAAAATATTTTTGTTTTTCTATATACAGGCTGTTTTCCAGCCTACTTTGTTTACTGCTGCGGTAGCTGATGCTCCTTCGGCAAATTCAGTGACTTCCAATAACTTGCAGCCTGTAACCAGCTATCCAGTAGGCAGATTTCACCTGAGCGGTACAAGTTGAAAAAGTATTTGTTTTACCGTCGAAGAGCTCCACGCTCTGGAAATAGATTCCGGAACGGAGCTTCCATTTCAGTGTCAACAAGATTCAGTAATCAATCAATCTTGGTGGGTAGTGGGGAAAGCGGTCTGCCCGTATGGTGATGGATGATGATGGACTTGGTGGAATGTTTTGAGGAAGCTAGATTATTGTTTTGATGGGGAGAAAATCAGCATGAATTTTATGCCGATTGAAGTTGGTCGGCAGGCAATTCTTTCACGTATCACGTACGTTCTGAATATAGCGATGAGTGTGCGAAATGTTTCTACTAACGACTCTCTGATGACTGTGTTGGGGAAGCAGCATATGCAATATGCATGTACGTAATTGATTGATTTGTGAGTTATTTCGACGTTTTTCGACAATGCTTGATATTTACCCCTTTTTCCATAGTTTCTTGTAAGAAAAATCAACAGTCAAAACCATTGACATCAATGCGTGGAAATATTTCTGATCGATTGGTGATAAAATTATTGAAATTGGTCCAGGGACAGCTGAGTTATTAACGTTCAAAATCTTTCACAATTTCGTTACATGATCCATTTTCGGTTTTCGCAAAGTGTACCCCCATATAGAAATCACAGACGTCAATAAACTATATGAATCACATAATAGCCCTTTATTTTCAACACCAGAATCATTTCAATTGCTTGCACTCTCGCTAAGGTGATAACAAGCATTCCTCCTTCAGAACAGAGCTCAAATTAACAGAACAACAAAAACCAGAAAACTTAATTACAGACAAACGTAATTCCACAAATTAGTCACATCGGATAGAACAGCTTCGCTTAGATCGCCAACAGTTCCGCTCTCATTTAGATTACACATTTATGGCTGGAAAAACTTTCGCTAGAATAGCTACCTAGTTGTAATCACCTGGCAATTAGGCGATCTACATTTGGCGTTGTCCAACCAAACCAACCGTCGTCGTCGTCGCAAAACACCCACACAAACATCCACCGTTTGACGGCCGGTATCGTCGTTCACTCACACAGACACACGGCAGGCGCCTCGATGCAATTAACCTCCGCGCTCATTTCCCCCCTCTCTCTCTCTCACTCACCACCCTCCTCTGCTTCCTGAATCGTGTGTTGGCTTAGGCTACTTGGCTTGGGTTGCTGCGATTGCACCACCCACTGTGTTTTACGTTACTACGTTCTTTCTCTTCTACTATTTTTTTTTCTTTCTCTTGTGTTTCGTTCCTGAACAGGTTCCACTGTGAACGCGAGCGCGTTACATATAACCAGCTTCCGCAAATAAAAAGCAGGACTCCACGCCTGTCTGTCTGTCTATACTGTACTGTAGCTGTGTGCTTCATGAGATGGAGAAAAATCGTACAAATTGCATCTATTGTCTGTGCACTAATCTAATAAAAAAAAAAAAAACTGAAAGCAAACCAGAATGAAGAAAACCTTTAAACTGCTTCTTATTTTAATCGCTCAGTTTGAAGATGTTGTTGCCCTTACACAAACACCATCACCAACACTGACACGCACTCAATCATCCAGCACCAAAGCCTACTACACACTTGGTAACCCCTTAAGCAATGTATACACGTTTCTCTGCCTATGAATGTAATTACATTTGAACATTTTTAATTTTGTAGATACTTTAGTGGAAAAGCCGGACCTTGGCGGGATGATTTCTTTTTTAGTTGGTCTCATGCAACCCCCCTCTACGCTGTACCTGTCTGTTTGTAGCAATCAGTTTATGACTGATCAAATGTGTTGCGATTTCTGCTGATAGTAATAATTTCAACCAAAGCAAGCCCTGCAACGCTGTGCCACCTTCTTCTACTTCGGATGATTTTTTTTTGTTTTCAAGCAAAACGTGCACTTCTTGCTACAACCAACCCCACAGATGATTTCCATCGTAAACAAATGTTCCACCCTGAAATGCAGAAATGTTTCATAGATTTGTGTGTTTCTTCTTTCTCCTTCTCTTTTTTTTCGTTCGAATTTTCTCTCTTCCTACAGGTGAGTACAAGACACAAACACAACAAATCACAATGTTTTCACACGCTGTCGGGAATCTTTAGTAGAGTTTCGATGTTGTAACCGAACTGTCAACAATGGGTGAAAGGGATTGAAAGAAAGCACGCCGATAGGAAGAAGTCTCTCGGGAGAACATTAGCTCCCATCGCAGCAATCAGGTAAAACAGTTTTTTTTTTATTCACTATGCAAAGGCTGACTAGATGGTGGAGCAGGAAGCTCAGCATCCATCTGCACTATTTAAAAGCGATCGTAAATCTGCGGATGCGAATGAATCGACTATCCTACAAATCGACATCCATTAAGAGAGTCATAAAATCCCAACGTCATCACTTTTCCTCCCGCTAGTTAATCATTTTTTTTTTCTAATTTACACCATTCGCGCCCTGTCTGAGCGCGTCCGGGCGCGGAAGAACGAAGCAGTGGATAAAAAAGTGTTTCGTCACTTGTCAATCACCATTATCATCGCCATTTTTAGTATCACTTTTTCACTCGCTTGCTTTGGCTGGCTTCATCTCAATCCAATTGGGAGCCATATAAAGTTTGGAACTTACTGATTCATGCTTCCGCGGATGGAAGAGCTGAAAATTGGATATTCACTTCGTCATGCCCATCAAATCAGAGCAGTCACGATTAAACGGTTATTGTTCACGCTTTCGTCGGCTGGGTGTTTTGTTTTTTTTTGCCAACCCACTTGAACGAGCAGCAAATTGAATCTCGATCGAATCAGCGGATGAAAAAAAAAGAACAAGAGAAAAACATGACAACCAGCAGACGTGAATACATGAATTCATGTTCGCCTCCAACACCACCTCGATCCCCGTCCCGAAATGTTCCACTCGTCACCATTTCCGCACTCATTTAAGAGCATACACACTGAGAACCATCATCCGTATCCGTATTCGCACATTCGCATCCGAGTGTGCCTTGGCGTACCTATCTGTCACCGAATTGTTTCCATGGTAGCATCGTTGCTGTTAGCAAACGGTGTGATAAGAAGGACTTTCGACGGCAGACAGTGTTTCGTTCTAGCGAGCGAGGTTTATTCAAATCCCGACGGCACAGCTTACTGCGACCAGTCAGTCTTCTAGTGCTGTGACTAGCGAGAAGCAAAGGGGAACAGCAGGCGAACCCCGACGACGGTGACCCTGGCAAGGTTATTGTCGTCGTCCACCGCACAATCGCAAGCTATCGGGCCACGGATCCACGGTCTTTGTCATCGTCGTCGTCTTGATTGTCGTCGTCGGCTGTTCGCGACATATGTCTGTTGACGACGGGAATGTGGATTTGTATAGAGCGAGAGTAGCATATTTGCTTGACGGAGGGACTCGTTGTTTCCGATTGTTCGCCGGCTAGTCCATTTGTGAGATTGCGAACATGAAGGGGAGTCTATATGGGAAATTTATTTCATAGCTCATAGAGGCTCATATGAATACCAAATGATGGGGTGCACGTTTTTTTTTTTCAGTGAATAATTTTAATTGAAGTTGTGTTTATTTTGTAAATAGGCTGTAAATGTCTTGGGGCTGAAACGGACACTAATTTATAGCTGTCAAATGAGGTTCATCTTTCAAGGAGCATAATTTATTAACTGAATAATTGCGAAAATTGGGATTGCGTTGTTGGGATTATCTGCAATCTGCAAAGACCGAGAAAATAACTTCTATGTATTCACTGATCGACTGTCGTATCTGGAATTTTATTATAATTGCGTCTTCTGTTTTTGCTACTTCCACTGTGACACGTATAGCGGAAAACGTTTTAACTGTCGAGCATCTGCCCAAGGGGCTCATTATTATACCGTATGCGTGATAATGTTGGCACCATCGTACAAATAAGGTTCCCGTTTCACCTGTGCATACAATGCCTTGGTTTACTTTGCATGCACGTAACCTATAGCTCATACAGTAGTAGGCTGTGTATAAAAAATATGATTAACTTAGTTTGACAGTTGCACCATGACGAAGTGGCAGCGTATTCGTGATTTGTCCCACGCGCAAATGTCGCAAAAAGACATTTCAATCGCCGTGGGAGTGTCCCGGTGGACCTTCAAAAGGGTTTTAGACCGAGAAAAGAAAGGACAACTATCCGCGAAGGTGGCCATAGGTCGTCCGAGGTCAGCTCGGGTTCCGAGGGTTATCGCTGCTATCAAAAGGAAGAGTCTGGTGAATCCAGTGCGTTCAATAAGGAAAATGACAAAGGAACACGGGATCAGTGATTTTACGGCACGGAAGATCGTAAAGGAAGATTGCGGGGCGAAGTGGAGGGCACGAAAAAAAAACTCGTATGATTACCAACCGCATCCGGGAGCTACGGGTCGAACGATGCAAGAAAATCTTGAACTTCCTTAAGCGAAAAAATCCGGTAATCCTGTTCACCGACGAGAGCATGTTTACCGTCGATCCCGTATCGAATTCCAGAACCGACCGGTATATAAGTTCTCGTGGCCGACGAGCACAAGAACGTGTATCTGAGATCCTGCTAGCGTTATGGTGTTTGGATTGGGGGCTTCCGATGGCAAACAAAAGGGACCCGGTGTTCATTCCAGAAGGCGATAAGGTCAACACGGAGGTCTACATCGGGACTTTAAGTATGTTCTTCCGTGGATCAAAGAACAGTACGGTCCGAAGCCAAATGTTGTATTTCAACCAGATGGAGCTCCGTGCCACACCTCGAACCGCACTCAGAAGTGGTTGCAGGAACATCTTCCGTTCTGGGTGAAGGATATGTGGCCGCAATCCAGACCCTATCTTAATCTGCTGGATTACTCAATATGGTGCGTCATGAAGGCCAAGGCCTGTTCTAAACGCCACCCGAGTACAGCAAGCCTCAGACAAACATTAACCCGTACCTGAAGAGAAATGGATCCAGACTACATTATTAGAACCTGCCGTGCATTCCGGAAGCGTGTGGAGGCCGTAATTGCAGCAAGTGGAAACTCGATCGATGATTAACATAGTTTAAAACTTTGAGAAACATCCCCCCTTTGAGAAAATAAAAAAAACTCGAAAACGAAATTTTTGAGAATTTTTAAATTTTGACATTGTTCAATCGTGCAAACATTATCACGCATACGGTACGTTTGGACGACTCAAACTGCTACAGCTCGTCCATCCTGACCTCTCTGTTGCCCTCAACAGATTGCCTAACGCTCTTCTTTTAAAAACTAATATAAACATTGTTTTATTTTACTTTCTGAACTTCCTGATTAGGCACTCCAAGTTATTGCCATTTTAGTCACTCGTTTATCATCTAGATATTCTTCTTTAACGTATTCTCCTGACTCTGATTCGTCTAGGTACTCAACATCTTCAAATTCTTCCTCGGAATCTAATAATTTGGAGATTTCCTCCTCATCTCTCTTCTGGTATAATCTCATGTTACTCGGATCGAAAACTCCCTCGAATTGGCGATTAGAAACTTGATAACCATCAATATCCGAAATTACGTATCGATTACGATCCAATACCTTTTTGACGATATATGGCCCTCTCTTTCAACTTATTTCTCTCTCCTACTTGTTTTACGGTCCGAATAGAAACGAGATCACCTTCACGATACTGAGTATTCACTTTACTCCGCTTATCGTACTGGTCTTTGCAATTTGCGAATACTTCGCGACGCTGCTTCTCTAACTTCTGGTAAATTCGCTCAAATTTCTCATTCAATTCTTCAACGTAGTTAGTAATATCATCCGTTACATTACGCTTTTGAACTATTTCAAACATTAAACGTGAAAGTACATCGCCAACCAACCGGTTAAACGTATTATTTAGTAAATACTCGGCCTCAACCAATACTGAATCCCAAACTTGTGAACGTTCTTCGACTACTTTACTCAATAACGAAATTAACGTTCGGCTATATCATTCTATCTGTCCGTTACCTTGTGGACACGCGGTTGCTACTTGCTCATGTCGAATATCATGATCCTTCACGAACGACGCGAACTGTTTAGACGTGAACGCGGTTCCTCTATCAGTCACTTAAACCTCAGGTGTCGAATAAGCGATGAAATACGACTTAAGATGTTTCATAACTTCGCGAGAGGTTGTTGTCTTTGCTGCATAAAGCTTCAAAAACTTTGTAAAAGCGTGTACGACTGCGAGAATGTGAACGTTCTTACCCTTAGTTAACGTTAACGGCCCGAGATGGTCAGCGTGAATCTTGCGAAACGGAATGCTGATTTTATCAACGATAAGAAGCGGTCCATCCAACTTCTTCAACTTGGGATTGAATGCGATGCAAGTGATACACTTGGAAATATGGTCCTTCCACTTCGTCTGCATTAGTGAAAACCAATAATACCGCTTTATCAATTCGCTAACTTTATCGATACCAAAATGCTCGAAACTATTATGATACTTAAACATCACCGATTGCTCCGATTCCGATTCTCTAAGTTCGTCTTAATCCTGACAACGTTCGAATCTCGAATCTGATTTCCGTAAACATCATTTTCAAAAATTGGAACTGGATTTGTCATCAACAGCACAGCAATGCATTCGCGAATAATGCCCAACGCGCAATCTTAGAGTTCACATATTTTTTTGATAAAACGTCGCCTTCAGCGAGTTGCAGTCCGTTATGATTTTGAAACTTATTCCGAATAGATAAACGCGGAACCGTTTAACACTGTACACGATTGCCAATGTCTCAAGTTCTAATGAATGTAAAATCGATTCAGCCGCTGTCGTCTTACGCGAAAAGAACATAACCCGATGAAGCTGGTTATCGTACGCTTGTCGTTGCATCAGTATTCCGCCGAAACCGCTAGCTGACGCGTCCGTATGCAGCTGTGTTTCCAACGCTGGCGAATAGATGCTTACTATGGGTTTCGATATCAAAGCCTCTTTCAGCTTCTCAAACGCTTCGTAATGTCATGACTCAAACTTAAAATTCTTTTCATGATTGTTCATCAATTCGTACACTGG